CCCCAAAACCCCAAAACCCCAAAACCCCATCAATAAGAAAATAAGCACAAATTCTGAAATTGAAAATTTAAAAATCATTATTTAAAGAGTTTATGTTAAAAGTTCAGTTAGTCATTCTTGACTGTTGAATTATATTAGCTCTCTCAATAATCTTTGTGAGCCTTGTATGATACTCTTGAAGCTCTTTGATTCTATCGCTTTGATCTCTAATCTCGTCATCTCTCTTATCGTAATCAGTCTTAAGGGACTTCTTGTTGACAATACCAGTCTTTTGCTTGAGCTTTTGATTCTCCTTCCATAGAGTTTCTCTATTTTTCTTCAATCTGCTCAATTCAGTCTTCTCATTGTTCAATATCTCATTGAGGTCCTTGAGGTTTTCATTCTGTTGTCTATTTTGCTCTTGGACATACTGCAGCTTTTCTCTTGTATGACTCAAAATAACTACAGTAGTGGTGATCTTTTTTCTAAGTTTGTGCAACTCTTCATTTCTCTCTTCAATCTTCTCATTAAGAGTCTAGTTTTCAATTTTAAGTTGCTCGAAATCAATCAAGTGAAGACCATCTGCCAACTGCTCCTTTTTCTTAAGGATCTTCTCCTTATTAGCCAGTCTATTTCTAAGAGCAATGTTTTGCAGTCTATACTAATGTACCTCTTAGTCCTTCAAGGCATCCATCTCTTCCCACTCATCCAATACCTTCTTTGAAATCTTCTTGCCTGTACGAGAAAACACTGCATTCTGGGCTACACTTCTCTTTAGTTCCTTGAATTATTACTCGATTTCATGGCATTTAGCTTGTTTCTCATTCAACTTAGCTTGGAGCTCTGATGCCATTTTATTGTACCTGTCTTGAGTTTCTTTCAGATTGAATCTAACTTGATGGACGTTGGCTAGAGTGTTAAGATACTTGTGCTCATTCATGGAAACATCTGGTTACTTATCATATTGTTCATATGAAGGTTCCATAATGATGATCTATCTCTATAACTCCTCATTTTGCTTTTTCAAAGCTTCCTATTCTCTAAGTTCTTCTTCAATAGCAATAATGAGTTCTCTTTTCATTTCATTCTAGGATGGAAGATCAGCAATTTCATCTAATGATTCCTCTTTTTAATCATCATCCATATTATCACCATCATCATCGTCACTGTTACTTTCACCTTGGCTTTGATGCTTGCCAATACTTTGTCTCTCAGAATGAGTCATTTTTTCTGATTAGGCGTTGGGAGATTAAGCTGATCTTTCTTGCTGCTTTGCTTATGATTTCTTTGATCCTGATTTTTCAGATAAAAGTGTCGATGATGCTATTGACTCAACATCTTCACCAGCATCTCTAGCAGCTGCCTACTATTCTCTCTTCTTCTTTTTCTCCTCCTATCGAACAAGTTTTTATGCTTCTTTAACCATTCTTTCCTCTTGTTCTCTCTAAAAGATTTTTAAATTTCATGTATTAGTACTTTTCTTCTTTCAGCAGCATCTCTTTCTTCCTTTTCCTTATCTTACGCATCTTCAATGACAGTTCTTGGATCTGGGATATACTCCATTGGTAGTCTTAATGCTAGTTCCAAGTGAGCAACATTAACTCTCTCTTAAGTTTAGACACTATGTTTATGATAAAACTGAAAATATAAATTACCTGTATTAAATCTTGTCAATTTAGGCTTTTCTAATATAGATTTCTAAAACTTTAGGGTCATCTGAGTAAAACACATTTTCAACTGGACCCTCGATATTAATGATAAAAGTTCTTGTATTCTTATCGAATTAAATGTTTGCTGGTCCTACTACCTTGATATCTTTCTTCAAATTCTTGATAGCGACAACTCTAGCAGCATAGAGACCTACTTCGCTACTCAACATCATACCTCTAACATCAATACCTCCATCTTCTGATTCAGTCAATTAATTAATCATAAGTGGCTTTACTGAGAGGAATTCTACAACCTTAACTTGCTATTTATTCCATGAAAAACCAATACCAGCATGAGTGATCTTAGGATCTAATAATTTATCTAATTCTTCACCCAACTCGCACAATAGACCATGAGCATCCATGAATTCATGATGAAGAACTCTATCATCAACATCATCCTCTTCTAAGTAAGAGTAACCGACGCAAACAACAACTGATCCAACAATCAGGTGCTTGTTTAAGATATCCTAAACAACATTAGGGTCTTCTTCATTTTCTAGCAAGTACTCAGCGTACTCTGCAGCAGCCTTATTCGAAAGTATATCCAAGTAGATGCCTGGAGTCTGCTGAGCCTCACGATAATCATTAATCGTGCGAACGATATCACGTCTGATTTTACGCATGCGATCTAAAGGTGGCATGTTTGCGAAAGCTGGGTTATCATCGAAATTAACTGAACCTTCGTTATGCTACACAATGTTAATCAGATATTGCTTGCTATAGATAAGTCTTTACTTACCTATCCATATCCAGGAGAACCCTCATGACCATATGAATCGCCATGATCCATACCATCTTCACTTCCCATCATATCTCCATCAGCGTAGTGCATATTTCCATCTTCGTCCATGTACCCCTCATGCTGGCCATATTGATCCATATCAGAATCTGAATAGTAATTAAAATAATGCTTTGATGAGAAATATTACCTCCATCCTCCATCATCTAACCCTCTGAGTAGTCGTCCATTTAAATTCTTAAATATTTAATTCTAAAACCTTATCACATTTATTTTATTTGAACTTTACCCTCCAACTATCTCTAATCTAATTATTTAATGTTTTCGGGGTTTTGGGGTTTTGGGGTTTTGGGG